GGGCAGCCTAAAGCATTTCTGAGCAAAGATGATACATAGAATTCAAAGTTGAGTTGTGATACAGCGGTTAAAGCACTATTTGCTTGTTTTTTTTGTTTTTTTCTCTCTCTCCCCCCTCACTTTGTGATCTTTACACAAGATATTTACGACCCTCTGCAATTATGGGGTCTATTTTCTATCAAACCTGTGTCTTATCTGCACTCATGTTGCTTTAACCCCTGTATTTTTTAATTCTATGTGTCGTCTTAGCTCAGAAATGCTTTAAACTCGAAAAAGGGAGTTTCTCCCGAAAGCTTGTCATTACAAAGACAAGATACGAATTTTATCTGTTTTTTACACACATATATATATATATTTAAATTTTATGTATATATTTGTGAACTGTTATATTCAGGAGACTTTGCTGAACACGAATATTAGTTAGACAGTAAAAAGAAGTGCAGTTTTTAAATTTTTCCCACACAACCCCCCATGTACAGGTTTTGTAGTGTTTTTGGAAGTTACAGGGCCAAATATAAGGCTTGAGTTTCAGTTTTTTCACATTGAAATTTGCCAGATTAGTTGTTACATTTGAGACCGCATGTTAGCCCAGGAATGAGAATTACTCTCATGATGGTATACCATTTGGAAATATAAACAACCCAATGTATTACAAGTGGGGTGTGTCCAGTCTTTTTTTGTAGCCACTTAGTCACAAACACTGGCCAAAGTTGGCATTCATATTTGTGTTTTGCATTTTTAAGATAAAAATATGTAAGATAATATTGCCATTTTAATTTTAATCTGTTTGTTATATAAAGTGAAGGCTTACAGGTTCCTGTAACATTTTGATAAAATCCTTGCTAGTGGTATATATAGGATATTGTTTCATTACTTTTTATACTGTTTGTAACCTATTCTAATAAAAAAAATAGAGCATATTTTATTTCCATGAACTTTCTAACTTGCTATTTATTGATTCCTGGACATTATTGCCATAGTGGAGAACATACCACCCAAGCACTGTGAAATGAGCAAAACCATACTTTGCTCATGATCTTGTAAGAGATATTCTGTTTATCTGCACTTATTGACCATACAGTCTGCACTATGTTGTTTTCTGTTACAGTTGCTTACAGTGAAGACCGCAATCATTATTATTATTATTGGAATTTATATAGCGCCAACTAATTCCGCAGCGCTTTACAATATTATGAATGGGGGGTAAATTTACAATTAATGAGACAATTACACAGTGACATAGGAACAATAGGTAGATGATGACCCTGCTCAAACGAGCTTACAGTCTAGAGGAGGTGGGGTACAAATACACAACAGGGCAGCAAGGGTGACAGCCACCAAACAAGGTGGAAAAGTAGCAGAGCTGGAGATGAGAGAGGAGTATGGCTCTTTACGAGAGCAAGAGACAGACATTGATAAGTATAGATAAGTTACTCTGGGAGTCCATAAGCATTTCTGAACAGATGTGTTCTGAGGGCCTTTGATCTCCACCCAGTCCCGAAAGGGCCCAAAGTATGTGAGCAGGGCCTGCTCTCCGTGGGCTGGCAGGGGAGATCAAAGGATCTGCCTTGTCGGCCATAGCACAGGGGCATTGCGCTTGGGCCCCCGTGCTTCTGGGGCCCCCGGGCAACTGCCCAGCGTGCCCATGTGGAAAGACGGCCCTACCCATAACATACTATCTATCTACTCCTCCTTGTCTGTATTTTAATTTCATATCACCTACACCCGAGGACACCACACCCATTCCTATTCTCCTGAAAAGAGAGAGTCTGTATTGGGTTGTTGTGCTGCCTGTGTCTCCTCCACCAGTATTTCCAGTCTAAGATCCTCTTTATTTTATTTATTTTTAACTATTTGCCTGCTGACTGTTAGCACTGCCAGCAGACAAATAGTTCTTTCAAATGATCAATTCCCTTGCAAGAATGATAATTTGCATACATGCATCCTGCCAGATGCAATTGGTTTTTCCTCTGCCACCATGTGGCTGATCTCCACTTCTTATGCTTTAACTTGGTTTGGATGGAGATATCAGTGATTTTTTTAAACACATCCAATTTTATTTTGCAGAAACAGACTGAATTCTGACCACATTTGGCTTTAGTTAATCTGCGAATTGCCAATGAGGTCGGAATTTTGTAATTGTGACCTGTATTTTGTCCATTCAGACAAAATCTAGTGTTCAGTGAATAACCCGGATTGTATTTTTGCTGCTTTTTTTGTAATTCTAAATTTTATTAAAGGACCACTCGTTTTCCTGGTACTATGTAGTCCTTAGGTCCCCACCCCACCCTCCCGCTGGTGGGCTGAAGGGGTTAAAACCCCTTCAGCCACTTACCTTTATCCAGCACCAGGCTCCCTCGGCGCTGATAACCTCTCCTCCTCCTGCCGACGTCAGCGCTGAATGCGCATGCGCGGCAAGAGCCACGCGGGCATTCAAACCGCCCATAGGAAAGCATTACTCAATGCTTTCCTATGGACGTCAGCATCTTCTCACTGGGATTTTCACAGTCAGTGAGACAGCCACTATAGGCTGGATTAACCCTCAGTGTAGAAACTGCTATGTTTTCAGCTGCAGGGTTAAAACTAGAGGGACCTGGCACCCATACCACTTCATTGAGTTGAAGTGGTCTGGGTGCCTATAGTGGTCTTTTAATAATTGGAAATAGAGAGACCAGGAGACTCACAGGTCTCTAGAGCTGAACAACAGAACTGGTCTCGTAGGACCCAGCAAATAAACAGAATTAATGAAATAACACAAAAATCATACAAAAAAAAAACATTAGTGTGCATGCACATCTCCCAACATTCAGTGCACAAAATACAGAGTTGCTAGCCAGAGCCCTTTTGGTATTCCCTAGTCACGTCTAGCATCAATATTCGTTCTTTCCCAACTAAATGGGTAGAAGCCCTAGGAAAATCTATGTCCTCAGAAGGAGGACACTATGATATTGATGTTGGGCCAGAGCCAAAATCCCCAACATCACTAGTGTGGTCTCAACAGGGGATTGGCAAAGTCAAAGGTGTAGTTAGTCATGATAAGTCTTGTCCAATAGATTTTTGCTTCTTATTTTTTAAATCTTATGTGTACCACTCTAAGAAAATGTTTTATCTATACTCAGCAACATTTCTTGAGTACAAACTCCCATATGTACACCTTTGCAAAGTAACAATCTCAATCCTATCCCTAATCCTAATCCTAACCCTAACCTTAATCCCAAATCTAACCCTAATCCTAATCACAAACATCACCCTAATCATAATCATTACCCTAATCCTATGCCTATCTTTAATTCTAATCTTAAATTTAACCCTAGCAGTAGTGTAAGAAGGATTCTCCCTGCTGATGTCAGCAGAGGAATTCCCTTGCTAATTCAACAGAGGGAATTGCTTGCTGGCCCTAATTCTAATCTGAACCTCAAACCAAACCCTAATCTGAAACCTAATGTGAATCCTAAAATTAATTCTAAACCTAATGCTCGACTTTCCTTGATGTGGCAGGTGAGCTTACCCTGGCCATTGGAGTTATAGTAAGAAAACTCCAGTTATTAAAATGTGCATAGGGATATTGGATAGTGTGCAAGTAACATTTTCTAATTGTTTTATTGTTATTGTTTTTATTGTATGTTTTGGGGTTGATGTCTACTATAATCATTGCTGCCACCCAGGAGTAATTGGAGTTTGAGTGCAGGACTTAATTTTGTATGTTTTTATTTGGTTTTGTATTACAGTTGTAATCAAAAGTATTCAACCCTATTAAAAATCACGTTTATTATCAAAATATAGAGACTTTCAGCTGTTTGCAATGAATAAATCAAACAAAAGCAATTGAAATAGATCAACACAGGGGTTTGTGGAGTGTCACCTTTGACTGTATGTTAGAAATATGGCTAAGTCAAAAGAATGGTCCACAAAGTTATGAAAAGATATTATTGCCCTTAACAAACAAGGAACAGGATACAAAAAGGAAGCTAACAATGGCTGCAACCAGATTTTTGAGAAATCAGGTTGTGAAAAACCTTCCACTGACGGTAAAAGACCTGCAGCAAGACTTGATGTCAACAGACACTGAGATTTCAGTGAGCACATTAAGGTGCGTACTAAATGCAGAAGGTTTCCATGCCAGAACACCAAGACGTACACCACTACTGACCTAACAGCACAAGAAAAGTTGGCTCCCAGAAAACCTCATGCCGCCTGTGAGGTAGTGGAAGCTTGGGCGTCATTGAACCTTCCAACAAAACAATGATCCCACCAAGACTTGGTTGTAGAAGAAGTCCTGGAAAATAGCACAGTGGCAATTACAGTCACCTGACTTGAACTCCATAGAAAATCTGTCGGGATTTGAAGAAGGCGGTTGCAGCACATTGTGATATATCATGCCTCTGAAGTATCACTGCTCAATTTGCTGCTATTTAGAAGCTAAACCATTTTGCTTATGCAGCCATAGCAACACCTCCTTGCATGCAACATATACAGACCATAACAAGTTGGTCTTTTGCACTTTCTTACCTAAAAGGGTTGAACCATTCTCGAACAGTCTAATCCCAAAGGTTGATCTCCAACGTCGGATCTCCCTGTCCGCATCGGGTTTCTAACATAGACTGATTTTGAAGTTTTAAATTGTCCCCTTAATGTATAAAAATAAGTAATTTGTATATAACCATTAATCATGCAATCATTAATGGCAACATATTTCATGAGGGAAGTAAGGACCTTAACACTTCCATTTAATTATTTATTTGTTATTTTAATTTTATATATATTTTTTAAAAAATAGCTTAGAGGAAGTAACTTAATGTCTCTGAATCCTCTTTGCTTTTCTTTAGCTTCTCTGCCATGTACCAATCTACCTCTGGTCTTACTTGCATTGCTTTCTACTGTTCATGACATCATGAATCATCAGTTCAGGGCAAAAATGTCTTCTCTATCCCTATGTAGGGGACCAAAATTCCAAGATTTTACTAGTAACATGACGTAAAGTCATGATTTTATTAATGACACGGAGGCGAGTATTATGCTTTCTCTTTCTTTTATTATTCTCCTCAGCAGCAAGAATTTAACTTGAAAGAGAATAAAAACGAAATAACATAAGTAATCTGCCTAGTAACAGGGCAGCCAATCATATACATTTATCAACATTAAGTGTCTTGAACAGTCTTCTAACTTCCTCTTTCTTGTCTGTGTCGACGAAGAGCCGTCGTAACTTTCCATAACTTCCGGTATTCCACCCAGTCCGTGTCCAGTACGTTACGCTGTGGAAACAAAGAGAATGTACGATAAAATCCAAACTTTGGAACTGTATGTTATCCTTATTCCTTATGTTCCTTACAATTGATATAACAAACTGATAAAAACAAGTTATGTGTGTACATAAAAAGGATGGTGTACATGCCCTTGAAATTCCTTGTTACTTACCTTTGCGAGAGTCTTAAGACTCTCCTTATAGACTGTCTCACGCCCACCGGGTGGGTGGGTGGGGATAATACTCGCCTCCGTGTCATTAATAAAATCATGACTTTACGTCATGTTACTAGTAAAATCTTGGAATTTTATTAATGACACGGAGGCTCATATTATGCTAGTTCAAAGCCTGGCCACTACCTGAAGAGAGATATGTTCAATTGGCCGAAAATAGAATTCTCTGAACGTCGATACTTGTGACCAATCAGCGGCCTTTAATATGTCCTCGAGGCGACAACCAATCGTTGACGCCTTGGATGCCATCGCGCCTCTCACCGAATGTGCGGAGAATTTCGAAGTGTCAATTCCTGTTAATGCTAACAGGTTCTTGACCCAACGAACTAACGTGGGCGTGGACACTGGTAGAAAAGGGGTTCGAAAGGATATAAATAATTGACTTGATGCAGGTGAGCGTAACTTCTGAGTACGATCCAGGTAGGACCGAAGGCATCTGACCGGACAAAGTGAGGGATGTCCCAGGTATCTCGGGTAAGAGATAGATTTTGTATTGCCTTTAGTTCGTCTCGATATGGAGAATGACACTCCCTCTGGGGTGAATGATAATGCGTCCCAGTCCAAGGCTCGCACGTCCGATATCCTCTTGCAGGACAGTAAGCATAACAGAGTCAGCAGTTTCCAAGACAGGTGTTTAAGGGAGAGTTCCTCATTTGGCCTCCATTCTTCCAAGAAGTGTAAGACAATGTTGACATCCCAGAATGAAGAATAGCGGGTCTGTGGAGGTTTCTCAAAGCGTATCCCCTTCAGGAGTCTACAAACGAAAGGATGCTGACCGATCGGGGAGCCCTCCAGGTTTCGGTGTCCTGCCGAGATCGCCGACCTGTACACGTTAATGGTACTCTTCCTTCTTCGAAAAGGGACGTCAAAAACTCCAGTACTTCTTTCAGAGGTGCTGAAACCGGATCCACTGACCGTTCCATGCACCAGCTAGCCCACACTCGCCAAGCAGAGTTATAGGCCGCTCTGGTCCCTGGAGCCCAGGAGTTATCCATGAGTCTTGTAACGTTCTGTGGAATGTCTGTGAATGTCCAGGGACTCCGGAAATCAACCAGACCGTGAGTTGCAGCAAGCCCTGATTGATTAGGTTGTGCGGATTCCCCTCTGGGTCCAATAGCAAGTCTGGTTTTGATGGTATTACTCGTGGAGAGTCGATTGCCATTTCTAGTAGACGAGGAAACCACGGCTGAGCGTGCCATAGTGGAACCACTATCACTAGTGAACAGTCCTGTGTGCATAGGTATGATAGTGTCCTGGAAATGAGATTGAAAGGGGGAAATGCGTAATGCCGAGACTTCGGCCACGTCTGCAGGAAAGCATCCGTCCCCGAGGCTGTTGGATCTGGTCACCAGCTGAAGTATCGAGGCAGATGACTGTTCAGTCTGGATGCAAAAAGGTCTACGTCCAGTGGTCCCCACAATTCATCTATTTGGCAAAAGGTAGAGCGGAGAAGACGCCAGTCTCCCGGATCTCGCAGATATCTGGAATTCCAGTCCGCTTGTACGTTGTCCAAGCACGGAATGTGTTCCGCTGTCACCGCAATCTCGTTCTGAAGGCAAAACTGCCAAAATTATTTCGCTAGGTTTGCTAGTCGTTTGGATTTAGTGCCTCCTAGATGATTGATATAACGGACTGCCGAGATGTTGTCCATACGGAGCAGTATACAACATCTCCCTACTGTAGGGGAGAGACTGCGGATGGCGAACGATCCTGCCAGAAGTTCCAGGCAATTTATGTGCATTGTGGATTCCTCCATGGACCATCTGCCACCGGTGTATATGTTGCCACAACGCGCGCCCCAGCCATGGAGGCTTGCATCCGATTCTATAATCAGGTCCAGGCTGGTTCCGAATATTGCTCGACCGTTCCACGCCTCCATATGGTCTAGCCACCACCTCAGCTCCTCCCGTGATTCTACATCCAGGACTAGTGCGGATTCGTACGAACGGCCGGACCTGAGGTGAGAACCTTTTAGCCGCTGTAGGGCACGATAGTGTAGAGGCCCTGGGAAGATGGCTTGTATCGAGGAAGCCAGTAGTCCTAAGACTCGAGCTAGTTGTCGAATAGAGAGAGATTGAGCTCGTAATGTGCGCCTGATCTCTTTTTTGATGGCCTTCAATTTCGTTTCCGGGAGGAGTAAGAATTGTGAGATTGCGTCGATCTGGAATCCCAGGAACTCTATCTTTTGGGCTGGATTGGTTATGGATTTTTCCCAATTTATCAAAAAACCCAGAATCTCGAGTAACGTGATGGTCCACTGTAGGTGGAGCAGTACTTGGTCTTGTGAGGATGCCATGATTAAAATATCGTCCAGATATATGATCAGACGAACTCCTCGTGCTCTGAGAAAGGCTACCACAGGCTTCATGAGTTTTGTGAAGCACCAGGGCACTGACGAGAGACCGAAGGGCAGACATGTAAATCTCCAACGTCGCCCTTGCCATGTGAAATGCAAGAGGTCCCAGTGTGCCTCCGCAATAGGGACAGTGAGGTACGCGTCCTTGAGGTCCAATTTGACCATCCAATCAACCTGTTGTAGTAAATCCCTGAGGCAATGAATGCCCTCCATTTTGAAGTGTTGGTATGCGAGGAACGCATTGAGTTCCTTTAAGTTTATGACTGGCCGCATACCTCCGCCTTTTTTGGCTACCAAAAATAAGTTGCTGGTAAAACCTGGTGTATCGTATGGGATCTCTTGGATTGCCCGTTTGGCATGGAGATCTGTAATCTCCTTTGTTATGAGTTTGGTTTGGTCTGGGGCCAGTGTCAGTTCTCTTGGGGCATGGATTTGGAATGGGGTAGATATAAGGTCGAGATAGAAACCCCTGACAGTTTGTAACACCCAAGCGTCTTTTGTGAGCTCGTCCCATGCATGCGCAAACAGCGCGAGCCTGCCCCCTATGTGTAGATGTGGAGGAATGAGAGAGATTGCACTTACCGTAAGGTCGCCTGTAAGTAGATTGCCTGCGGCTTCCCTGAGAAGGCCATGGACGTCCCCTGGACGGAAAGAAGGGTGACGGCCGGAACTCCTGGTACGTGCGGGGCGCTCCAAAGGAGCCTCTATGGACCCTGGAGGGGCCCCGATAGACTCGGCCGGGTGGACGGCTCCTAGATCTCCCGGCCCCGTGCAAAACCTTGGGGTTAAACACTCTCTTAAGGTTGGCTTGAGCCTTATCTAAAGTGGTAAAAGTTTTGACAAAAGCCCCGATGTCCTTGACAAAGGACTCTCCAAATAACATTACCTGGGCTGTGGGTCCAGGTTCTCTATTTGCCAAGTTAATCAACTTAGGTTCAATCTTAAGTAAAATTGATTTACGGTGTTCCGCCGAGATGGCTGTGTTGGCATTACCCAACAAGCAGATAAGCCGTTGGACCCATCCGATGGCTACATCGAAATCAATGGTGGACTCTCCCGCTTTAGCGGATTCAAGTAATTCATATAATTTTGTGGTTGGCCCCAGGGTGTCTAGTATTTTGTCTTGACAGCTGTGGAGTGAAAACTCCAGCCCCTTCTTGGGCTTCCAGCCAGATTTTGAGAGGAATTGGGCGATATGTGGGTCCACCATGGGGGTTTTGCAGGCCATGTCTGGTACGGAGGGTCTGGGACACTCTGCTCAGAGTTTATTCCTACTCTCGTTAGAGAGAGGGGTACGCAGACGGAGCGCCAAATACTGCGCAATGTGCGTTGGCGGGTCCCACTCCGCCGAGCGAGGGTGGCGGAGGTTGTCCGGGTCGAACAGGGGATACCCTTGAGGGTCCCAAACACCATCCTCCACACCCGTCGGTTCCACTACAGGACTAGACTCCTCATCTGAGTCGGAAGCCATAGCATTGTAAATATAATCCGGGTCGTCAGACCCCATCTCCTCACTATTGTCAGAATCTGACTCTTCGTATTGGGCACGTGCCCGTTTCCAATTTCTGGCCGCTTGCGCCCGACCAGTGGCTCTTGTGCGTGGCAACACGCCATCTAGGACCGCCATAGGCGGGTCAGTCATGGCAGGGGAGACCTGCATCAGTGGGAGCGTTGATGTATGCTTAGTCTTGGCTTTTGCCTTGCGGGCAGCAGGGACTGGTATATCAGTTTGGGCCGTTATAGTAGGTTGCACTTCAGGGGGCAACATGAGTGCCTGGGCCAGAGAATGGGATAGGGAGGTGGACACCGAGCCCATGGCTGAAGCCAAGGCTCGCTGGACCGAACCAGCCATAGTTGATTCCAGGAGAGACTGGAATTCCTGAGAGGGTAAATGACCCGGGTCTAGGCCAGGGGTGGGTAAGGTATTCTCTATATTAGGGCATCCAGGGCCCCCATGTCCATCCCCGTGATTTTGCATTTTATTATCCAATTCACCAATGGGAATGACTGAATAGGTGTGCAACCAATGGGAATGACTGAATAGGTGTGCTAGGCAGGGAGCAACAGGTCTGGATAAATCACACAGGGTTTTCCTTTATTTTTGTTTTATTTTTTTATTTTTTTCGAGTTACTCTCAGTAATGTCTGTAACAAACAAAATCCCTTTTTTATTTTTTATTTTTTTTAATTGGGAGAGATGCCTTTAAATTAACCCAGAAACCAAACCCCCAGCACACAGTCAGTTACAGACTAAAGTGCAGAAAAAACTTGTACAGGGGAACAACACAAACAAAGAGAACAGCAAGGCTATAAGAAGGGTAGTGAGAAAGGGTTGATTAACCCTTAGAAGCAAATATGGGAAATATAAACCATACAACCTTGCCCACGGAGGGCAGCAGGAGCAACTAGGAGCTGTTCAGCCTTCCCGCGCTTCAGAGAAGAGAAGCGCGCCGAAGGCGAACTTGCTCCACCCCCCCCCTCCAGTAATGGCCGCGAGGAGAGAACTCCCCGTGGCCCCAGACTGCCGGGCGGAAGTAAACCCGGCAGGGGAGAGGAGTGAGACAGAGCTGCTCGGCACCCGCTGGGATGTCTAAGCGGGTGCCGGCAATTACACAGAAGGGAGGGAGGGCACTAGTGAGACCGCAGACGCGCGGGCGGTGCGGTCTCACAGCCTGTCAGACCCCTCTCAGCCCTGGCAGTTAGTGAAAGCCAGGGAGAGAGGGAAAATGTCTGAACCTAAGCAGAGCTAAGCACTGTAATACTGACCCCTGAAACAGGGACAACATGGAAATGAACAAACATGAAACATTTAAACCAACAACATTTAAAGTGATATTAACAAAAAAATTATGTGTGTAATGAAAAGTGAAGAGTATAGAAAAAAGTCACTTATCTGATCTGAGGAGCAGCAAGAAAGAGGAAGTTAGAAGACTGTTCAAGACACTTAATGTTGATAAATGTATATGATTGGCTGCCCTGTTACTAGGCAGATTACTTATGTTATTTCGTTTTTATTCTCTTTCAAGTTAAATTCTTGCTGCTGAGGAGAATAATAAAAGAAAGAGAAAGCATAATATGAGCCTCCGTGTCATTAATAAAATCACAAACTGGATGTAGGATAAAAAGAGACCTAGTGATGGAAATACTGCACAGGATGGAGCTCCATAATAGAAATTATGTGAGGATGCTCACAACTGCACATGGGATCCCATGAGAGATAGAATAAATGCATTACCTCACAGGAAAGTTGATGATAAGAGGGATTATGTGTTGGGAGTAACAGACTGCACAGGGGATCACATGTAGAATGGAGTACACAGGACACAAGATTATAAGAGGGGATTACATTTCTTCACTCTGACAAAATTATTCAATTGTCAAGAATGCAAAGCACATTTCAAATGTAAGGTCAAAGTAACCAAATTTAAAAAAAAAAACGCCATTAGTCAGCTATGCTTCCAGGTTAGCTATTTGAATTTAAATCTGACATCAACTTTGAATTCACTCTGAATTTCCGCCAAATTTCCAAATTTAGTGAAAGTGCCTTATATATTCACTATTATGTTTACTCACTAAAGTGAGAATTCAAAGTGAAGGCCAAAGTATCCACAGTGGAAGCATCGCTGACTTAAAGAATGTTTGCATTTTAGATATTTATTTTTTATTTTTTTATAATTCTTTATTTTTCGTGCATATAGGCTTAGCAATCAGGTTTGTGGTGCCCCAACGGCAATCCACTCACTTTTGCCATTAACATATGAAACATTGGGGTACAGAATGACATGTGCACATTTTTTACATTTAAAGAGTATTAACCAAGTGTTGAGTAACATGCTAGATAGTCCATTACTGTGATTACTAGGAAGAATAGGCAAAACATGAGTAGATTTGCTTATATAGTAGTTAAATGTGGAGTAACATGCTAGACAATACATGACTGTAATTACTTATGTATTTGCTGTTCGGGTGTACGCTAATTGCAATACGGTTGGTATTGGTAGACTAATATTTGGTTGGTTACATGCTAGATCTTCAAGATAGTTGTGTAAACCCCCTGGGGTTGAGCTAGCCGCTTTGGGGTACATAGGCATTTTGAGTGTGGTCGTGAGTTAAAGTATGCATGCCTTAGTAGCCGAGTAGGGGTGTAGGGGTTAATACCGCCATTTCTTATTCGCCATTTGTGGTTCAGCGTACCCTTACCAAAAAATAACACATTTATCACAGTGGTCATTGCCTGCCCATGGTGTGCCCACTAAGGTTCTGCTGGCTTATGGCCTCGCAGGGTTGCCCCCGGTCCATACTTAGATTAGGTTGGTTTCGGGAGGTTAATTGCACTATGATCTCAAACATTAAGATTTAACAAATATTGCATGTGTGAGGCATTACAACTCGTGATTCCATATACTACGCAACATGGAGCTCACGATTACTGTAGGCAAGTTCTGGTTTTTCATCCGATGCCCAATGGGTTGAGGGCGTTGCCGGCCTGGTGGCCTTTGTGCAAGTTGTCGGCAGTGACTCTCTGCCAGCCCCCGCTCTCGCTGGACCTCCGTGGACCGGGTGTTTTAGCGTGGCTGAAAAGTGTTGCGTGTTCCTGTGGTCCCCCTGTGTGGCATAGTCTTTTGGGTAGCTTAGTGACCGTTGGGCCGGTCTGGGTTCTCGGAGGTGGTACCTTTTGGGTAGGTCGATGTTTGTGAGCATGTCGGTATTTCTTTGAGCTAGGTACATGGCGGCAAGGTTTAAGCCTCCGCTGGATCACCCGCTTACTTCTCCCCATGATTCGGGCTGCTTCATGGCCCTGTTTGGTGGTGACTGTTTGTCGTGCCCTTATTTGTGTAAGCTCTGCAGGCAGCTTCGTCTCAGAGGTGGTCCTGTGGAGGGTGATTTTGGCCCAGAGATCATGCAGTAGACGGTCAATCCTCTCCACTAGTGGGGGCAGTATGGTGCTGGGCGTTAGGTTGCACGTGGTGTCCGCCATGTTTTTCTCCGTTTGTTTCATTGTGTGGTTAGGGCATGGTCTGCTCCCTGGTGCTGGGTCGTCGCTTGTGTTTGCCGGGATATCCCCCGCCGGCGTGGGGGGGGGGAGTTAGACTCATTGTAGAAGACCTGGATCCGCGAGTGCTGCTGCTGTGGAGAGATCGGCCGCCTCCCTCGCATTGCCCTGACTTCGGGTCTATCCCCGGTAAGAGACTGTCGCTGGCAGTTGGAATTTCTGGCTTGTGTTGCCGCTTTAGCGAGCCCCTTAAGCTGGGGTTGTTGTACAAGCATATTTGAGGGCTTTTTCTCGCTTATTTCAGATTCTTTTAAGTTTTTGCCACGGAGCCCATGTTGTGTGCGACTGCTCGCCATGGCTGCCAGGCTCCGCTGCCCGCATTTTAGATATTATGAACGTAAATGTCATATTTACATTGAATTCACATTGAATTCATCCTAACATATTAAATAACTGCAATGCACTTGTTTCTGTCTGTCATAATTTAAATTCCGCTACAAAGAATATCTTAGCAAAATCCATGTCTAATCAACACACAAAATATTGTATATCGTATATATCAATAATGGCAATTGGTACTGCAGACAGTGGTATTTAAATCTATAAAATGGGTACATACAGCAGCAAATGAGCATTTAATTCTTCATCTGTATTGCAATGTATAGGTAGATTATGGTTTGGTTCAGGAGTATAGTGCCCTCTCTCTATAGTATACAATGTGATATTTGGAAAGTATAATATTTCAATATATTGAAAAACACCCCCACCTCTATAATATATTCTTTCCTGCTTCTATATGTTCTTGTATTTTCTGATTTGCATTTGTATTGTACCACTGCCTGGATGGGTGCTAAGGTCAATTGGAACTCAAGAAAAGAGGGGGAAATTTATGCAAAAGTGTTGATTGCATTTGTATGTAATGAAATCATTCAATATTCATCTGAGTATGGAATCTAATCTTGCAGGAAAACTGAAGGACATAAGAGTCACAGGAAAACCATAATGAGCTTCTGTAGTGATTAAAAAAAACACTTGAGCTTTTTGAAAATGGCATCAGAAATAGTGTCTAATCAGCAGTGAATGTGGGAGGTAGAGATTAGAGTGACATTCTGCTGAGAAGACGGTGAAATAAATGCACGCTGTAAACTTTGACATGCCAGCCTAGATCTGAGCTACAGAATAAAAAAAAAAACCCTAAGCAGATAACGTTTGAAAAGCAATTTCATGTCTGTCTTTCTTCATCCAATAGCCTTAATCATGATCATTGTGATTTTTTTTCTTTCAAAAATGTTGAGGTTTTTATTGTAGGGTTATTACTGTCTTTAATACGTAACACTCCTGCCACTTGCTAGAACATAGATAGATAAATAAAACATAGTGTACAGGAAAAAAAGTTTGTGTGTTTATGTGTATAGGTATACATACACGCAGACACTCATACAAACTCAGACCTGATTTTGATCTGTTTTTACTATAAAATTTAGAAGGGATCGGGATAATGCCCCAAAAAATCCATAATGTGTTTTTTTATTTTTGCTGTGAATATTGTAGAAGATAATACAATAATATTGTAGAAGAGTAAAACAATATGTATTCATCCTAACATTATGATCATTTATTATTTTAATTGTTCCATTTTAGTGCTTCTTAGTACTGAATTCATAATGTTGTTATAACAGATTGCAGCATTTCAGTTCACTGTAGTTTATATAGACTCTCATCATTAAAATATTGTTAAAGGTTTAGTGAACTGACTGAAAAGACATCACAAAAGAAGTTTTCCCAAATAACTGAACAGTGAATTCTGCTCCTTCCTCTTTCCAACAGGAACATGGACAAACCACTGATTTCACCATATTCCTCTGCCAAACAGGACCTTCTGAATTTACTAATCCCTGCACTTTTTTCCAAAAACACTTTGAGCTTGTTTACAACTGTGTCAGTAAATAACTGATGTAAACTGTTTGATAGTTATTAACCCCCTTAAGGACGGAGCCAAATGTACATGTTGTGAACGAAACAAAATGTAAACAAAACCTGGCATTTGCGCTACATGTCTGTCCAACCGTAATTCACCTCTTTCATATTAAATGCACCCACCCTTATTATATATGATTTTATTCAGGGGAAACAGGGCTTTCATTTAATATCAAATATTCAGCTATGAAACATAATTTAATATGAAAAAATGGGAGAAAATAAGATTTTATGGCGTTTTGGGAAGTTACAGGGTCAAATAAAGCACGTTACATTTGAAATTGAAATTCGCCAGATTGGTTACAATGCCTTTGGGACTTTATAGTAGCCCAGGAATGAAATTTACACCCATAATGGCATACCATTTGCAATAGTAGACAACCCAAGGTATTGCAAATGGGGTATATCCAGTCTTTTTTAGTAGCCATTTGGTCACAAACACTGGCCAAAGTTAGCGTTAGTATTTGTTTGTGTGTGAAAACTGCAAAAAACGCCAATTTTGGCCAGTGTTTGTGACTAAGTGGCTACTAAAAAAGACTGTACATACCCCGTTTGCAATACTTCGGGTTGTCTACTATTGCAAATGGTATGCCATCATAGAGGTAATTTTCATTCTTGGGCTACCATAGGGTCTCAAAGGCAACGTACCCAATCTGGCAAATTTTAATGTGAAAAAAATGAAACACAAGCCTTACATTTGACGCTGTAACTTTTGAAAACACCATAAAACCTCTACATGAGGGGTACTGTTGTACTCGGGAGACTTCGCTGAACACAAATATTTGTGTTTCAAAACAGTAAAAAGTATTGCAGCAATAATATCGTCTGTGTAAGTGCTGTTTGTGCGTGAAAAATGCAAAAAAGTCACTTTTACCGGCTATATCATCGTTGTAATACATTTTACTGTTTTGAAACACTAATATTTGTGTTCAGCGAAGTCCCCCGAGTAGAACAGTACCCCCCATGTACAGGTTTTATGGTGTCTTGGAAAGTTATAGGGTTAAATATAGTGCTAGCAAATTAAATTCCCTTTACTTTCGGCATGGGTTGTCAGGCAGGTCCCGCTAATTGTAATTAATTAAGATAGGTATATATATATAGTGATATATACGTATATATTTATGTATATAGATATATATTATTATTTTTTTACGTGTATTTTGATATAAATATATATATATATTATCACAATACAGTTAGAACGAAATAACACACATCTATATATTTTTTTATTATTTTTTTATTATTTATTTTATTTTATTTTTTAACGTATTTACATATTTAATTTTTTTATATTATATATAAATATATATATAACAATAATTATATATATTTAATCAGTATCAGTCTACGTGTAATTTGATATTAATATATATATAATTATATATATTAGTAAAATACACCTATACAGTGTACGTGTGTGTATGTATATGTGTAAATATATACTTAGATCATATATATATATATGATCTAAGTATATATTATTATTTTTTTTTACATTTTTTTATTTATTTTATTTTTATTTTCAGCCAGCAGGGGGACCACCTGTCCTCGCAAGGACCTCACTCTCACATGGCCGGGGGTGGCTGCAGGAGGAAGATCTGCTGCGGGGGTGCTCCCTGGGAGTCCCCCCAACCGGAGGGCGTACTATTATGCCCGGCGCGTTTAGAGCCGCCTAAAATAGGGTGTAATAGTACGCCCTCCGGTCTTAAGGGGTTAAGAACAGCCAGTAGCTTGTAGCTACTACAAATTACCACAAGGTTTACATTTTTGTACATATTATATATAAAATAGCACATGCAAATGTATAATAAGTGATAGTGCCCCTGGTTGTAACTCACACAGCCAATGTTTAAAAATGGTTTAATTTTCAATCAGATCTTACAGGACAGTGTGTTTACTTTAGCAGTCATTATGTGCTGCTCTGGAAATTGAACTTTAAATAGTATATGAAGTTGTTGCAGGTTCTACCAGGCTATTGACAGACCAGGAGATAAGAAATTATTGATTAAACACACTGTGCAATGTAGGCTCTTTTTCAGTAAGTGTGTAGAGAGGCTGTGCGAGTGATGTGGAAGATGTGCCTAGCGTTGCTTAAACAAAGTGTTTTTACACCTAAATAGCAGAGAATTGAGTGATAAGATTGTAGGGGCATGATCTGTACACCAAAACCACTTAATTAATCTTAAGTTTTTTAGTGCTTTAAGCCTGGCCACTCTAAGGTCTGGTAATAATTATTTCTATCCTTTCCCATTTTTACTGGTTGGTAGGTACTAACTTATTTTGCTGATGTTCCTCTCATATCCTCACATTACTAAAAAAACAGCATAGCTTTATTAGAGCAAAGAAGTGCCAAAGGGCGGGGGAAGGCAAGCATGCCCAATGTAACAGTTATTTATTTCTTGAGGTTCACTTGTTCCTTTCAATGCCTGCGATTACCTGCCATGCCCAAGAATTATGTCACCAGTGCCTTCCCTGTGTAGACATGGAAGAGGACACCAAGGGACACAGATTACGTGGATAAGGATGCTGATGATGGCAGAAAATCCATAGCCACACCTGCCTGGACGGTCATTTTATTCTTATTTCACTGGACATGAGACACTACAGAGAGAGAGCCTCGCTCATCGGAGATGATGTGTACCACCAGTGAGGAGGGCCAGCCATAGCAACTTCTTCACATCTTGCTAGATAGTAATGGAGTCTCTGCAACACTTTATAGATTCTATGCATTATCAAGGCATCCTTGTCAAAAAGACAAATGCCATTGGCAATGAAGCCATTGACAGGAGGCCAGTCTGTGTTCCCATAATATCTGAGGAGATAGTTCTCTTGTGTATTTTTGTGATTTTTTTCCAGCCTAACTTCTTGGGTTCCTAATTGTTATATTTCCTGTCTAGCATCTGAAACCTGTCCTTTCTACTCAGTTAGTCTACAATCCCTTATTTACTGCCCCATATGCTGATTTGGCAAAGGTTTAAGAGACGTGGACAATGTATCACCTCACCATCCCTATGACAGTGCTATTTATATCTCGGCTGGTACTAGTCCTCCTTGAGGCAGGAATAGTACCAGCCGAGAGATCCACTATCATACGCAGAAAATATTATGCATTTATGCATTTCTTTGAATATACAATGCACCCAAATATAAAAGACACCTAAATCTAGAAATATAGAAGAAAAACACAAACTAAGCAATTATAGTAAACTTCAGTTTAAAAAAAAAATGAATTAATTCTTAGTGCTTTCACGGTCAATGGTAAAAGCCTCAATTTCATTTTCACTTGAATCATCACTTAAAGAAGATAAATTAAAACAACCAAGTATGGTAAACTTCATATGACAAATCATCAAATCTTTCAAACTATGTATCCTCAGTGCTTTCACTGTCAATGGGAATAGCATCCATTTCATTTTCACTTGGGCCATCACTGCCTTCTTCTTGTTCAATAAGACTATCATCCTCAGTACCATTCATCGTGTTACTTATGCCACATTTTTGAATGCCTTTACTACTAAACCACTTCTCACTTTATCCAATGAATTATTCACCAACTCAAACACCTCAGGAATACTTGGTCTTTTCTGTCTCCCAGTTAGTCACTGCAAAATCATCCTTCTGCATTCAGCTGTTCCATTCTTCTCTCATGACACATAGGTTAATTAATCGAAACATCAAGAGGTTGTAATTGACTTATTACCCGTCCAGGTATAACAGCTCCCCCCTGACCCTCACCCCTAAACGGCGGGTGGGGGCCCTAAATTAGAATAATGGGGGACCTATTGTCCTCCCACCTGGCCTCCACCCCTGAGCGGCAGGTGGGGGCCTTAAATACCAATAAGGGGGGGGGGGACCTATTGTCTTCCCCCTGGCCCCCACCCCTGAGTGGTGGACGGGGGCCCTAAATAAAATGTTACCCCAAACCCTAGTCACCTCCCTCTCCTAAAAAAATAATAAACCCCTACCTACCCCCCTCACCCTAAAAATAGTGAGGGGGGAACAATAACTAACTACCTGTAAAAAAATTTAATAAAACTTACCATTTGATGTCTTCTTTTTTCTAAAATCATCTTTTTTCAGCCTCAAAAAAGGCCAAATAAAAACCATAATACCAGTCACACTTTTGAAAAATACTTTCATTAGTCCCTAGCCTTATATTATAGTTAGGATAGCCTTATGCTAAGAGCACTCTGATAGGTTGGTTTAAGCCATCCAATCAGAGTGCTCTGACAGGTAAATGAAGAGACTGACAGGTAAGTCTCTACATTTACCTGTCACAGCACACTGATTGGTTAGCTTGAAATCCAACCAATCAGAGTGCTCTGTGTCATTTTATACAGCATTGGAAAGTCCTTTGGAATTTTCCCACACTGAGTATTTTGACTCACAACAACACTCTGATTGGTAGATTGAAAGCAAATGACACAGCGTGGGAAAATTCCCCCTTCAGTTTAAAAGCCCCCACTCGCACGGCACGGGTGGGGGCTCAGGAGGGGGAACACTTGGGGTGTTTTTTTGTTTTGTTTTTAACAGTGAGCAGTTGTTCACTGTTTACTAGACATGCCCATACTCGTGGTGTAGCGAGTAGGGTCAGAATTTACTAATTCTAAGTAATCTTTACTTAGTATTAGAAAATTTGTCTGATAGACCAATTTAGGACTATAGATAGCTCACTAATACCGTAGATAGATAGCTCACTAATACCGTAGGAATTAGAGAGTTATCTACTTACTCATTGCCCTCCATTGACTGGCTAAGTAACTTATATTGTATATGAATGTGTTACTTGATTGTTGTAAGTGTTGCAAATGCCTACAGCTGAATCCTGGCTATGTTTGTATACTTTTTATTTAAACTGGTATACAGTGTAGCATTCTTCATTCTTCCACTGGGTATAATAATAATACTTCGGCAATTCCATGCTTTGGAACTTCGGCAACTTCGGAAATTTGGCAATTCATAGAAACATAGAAACATAGAAACATAGAATGTGACGGCAGATAAGAACCATTCGGCCCATCTAGTCTGCCCAATTTTCTAAATACTTTCATTAGTCCCTAATCTTATCTTATAGTTAGGATAGCCTTATGCCTATCCCACGCATGCTTAAACTCCTTTACTGTGTTAACCTCTACCACTTCAGCTGGAAGGCTATTCCATGCATCCACTACCCTCTCAGTAAAGTAATACTTCCTGATATTATTTTTAAACCTTTGTCCCTCTAATTTAAGACTATGTCCTCTTGTTGTGGTAGTTTTTCTTCTTTTAAATATAGTCTCCTCCTTTACTGTGTTGATTCCCTTTATATATTTAAATGTTTCTATCATATCCCCCCTGTCTCGTCTTTCCTCCAAGCTATACATGTTAAGATCCTTTAACCTTTCCTGGTAAGTTTTATCCCGCAATCCATGAACCAGTTTAGTAGCCCTTCTCTGAACCCTCTCTAAGGTATCAATATCCTTCTGAAGATACGGTCTCCAGTACTGTGTACAATACTCCAAGTGAGGTCTCACCAGTGTTCTGTACAATGGCATGAGCACTTCCCTCTTTCTACTGCTAATACCTCTCCCTATACAACCAAGCATTCTGCTAGCATTTCCTGCTGCTCTATTACATTGTCTGCCTACCTTTAAGTCATCAGAAATAATCACCCCTAAATCCCTTTCCTCATATGTTGAGGTTAGAACTCTATCAAATATTCTGTACTCTGCCCTTGGGTTTTTACGTCCAAGATGCATTATCTTGCACTTATCCACATTAAATGTCAGTTGCCACAATTCTGACCAATTTTCCAGTTTACCTAAATCATTTGTCATTTGGCTTATCCCTCCTGGAACATCAACCCTGTTACATATCTTAGTATCATCAGCAAAAAGACATACCTTACCATCAAGACCTTCTGCAATATCACTAATAAAAATATTAAAGAGAATGGGTCCAAGTACAGATCCCTGAGGTACCCCACTGGTGACAAGTCCAAGCTTCGAATATATTCCATTAACTACAACCCTCTGTTGCCTGTCACTCAGCCACTGCCTTACCCATTCAACAATATTTGAATCCAAACTTAAAGATTGCAGTTTATTGATAAGCCTTCTATGTGCAACAGTGTCAAAAGCCTTACTGAAATCTAGGTAAGCAATGTCTACTGCACCACCCTGATCTATAATTTTAGTTACCCAATCAAAAAAATCAATAAGATTAGTTTGGCATGATCTCCCTGAAGTAAACCCATGTTGTCTCTGATCTTGAAATCCATGTGTTTTTAGATGTTCAACAATCCTATCCTTTAACATGGTTTCCATCACTTTCCCCACTACTGAAGTAAGGCTTACTGGCCTATAGTTGCCCGACTCCTCCCTATTACCTTTCTTGTAAATGGGCACAACATTCGCTAACTTCCAATCTTCTGGGACTACTCCTGTTAACAATGATTGATTAAATAAATCTGTTAATGGTTTTGCTAGTACACCACTAAGCTCTTTTAATAGCTTTGGGTGTATTCCATCAGGTCCCATTGACTTATTTGTCTTTACTTTTGACAGTTGAAATAGAACCTCTTCCTCTGTAAACTCACGTGTAATAAATGACTCATTTATCCTTTTTCTCAACTGAGGTCCCTTTCCTTCATTTTCTTCTGTAAATACAACATTCAGCTATTCAGACATTCGGAAGTATCCGAATGACCGAATTGCCCAAAATTTGTCCGAATTGACATTTGGAACGAAAATAATTGCACATGTCTACTGCTCATGCAGGATGTTTATTGGGTCCTTCAGGTACAGAGAGGCTGAACTGTACCTGGGATATACATGGTACATAAGGGAAGGTGGCCAAAAAGAGAAAAAGGTATTCAAAAAAATTTATTCCTGTCCTGCTAAGGCCAGGAAAAAAGACTGAAGGGGGGAGAGATCTTTTATGCATTCAGATTCTCTGTCTTTTACTCTTTTCTATTGGTTGTTCCTGTGCTTGCTTGGGGCGGAACTACCCATAAGTGATGCTGCTATCATTAGCCAGGAAAAGAGTATTTTTCAAAAGATCAAAATTGTATTGAACCCAAAAAGTGTGCATTATCTTACAAATCCTAGTTACATAATTGTTCTCATTCTTGCAAATTATGATGTATAGGCTGGTTCTTGACTGCTGCATTTGTCAGAGAACCCACTTTTTATACCACCATGTCCAGTTTTTACAAAATAAATTTGGAATGCAGGTGAGCAAAATTCACAAATTTTTCATGGAAAAGTCATGGACAAATGTCTACATGGATATCTCAAAGTAAAGGCACACTGCTCAAGAAGATTTTCAAATGTAAGGCAACATATTTGAACTGAAAAAAATGTCAGGTATCCCTTCAGATCAGCTACTTTGGCCTTAAATTTGAAATTCACAGGAAATTCACTTTGAATTCTCACTTTAGTGAATAACCCTGCATGTTAAATGCCTGTTGTGATGAACCCACTCCTAAAAGAATATGATCCACTAAGCTCCTACCTCCCTGTCTTGTTCCCTAACTCTTTGGACCCTTAATGAGAGCTGGACTGTCCAGACGCTATTAGAGGGACAAACATAAAACTTCTCTGGAACTCCAACCTGGCCACTTGTTCCCAGTCATCTTGCACCTTCCATTTTACCATTTTCCCAGTGACTCAGAAAATCACTTTTTGGAGGAAAACTTCTATCCCCAGAACTGAACAATCACTCCCTGAAACCACCAGGGAGCTCCCCTTTACCACTGAGCTATTGCACCCGGTAATCACTTTTGACTGTATGGCGTTTGGACAATTCTGCATGGATCTGAGCGCTACATTTCCAGAATGGGTGCTTGGATCTGCCCTTTAAAATGATGTACGGAGTGTCTGTCTACCTCACTGTTTGATGGATGTTTTGGGGGTATTTCTATGTTTCGCTCTCTGTATCTGGGAGATAATAATTTTACCGCTTATCAATTCAATTATCTCCCAGACACAGAGATGCCTGGGTGGGTTTAAGAAGTTCTGAATAGAAAGCTTGGGGTCTGGGTATAAATGTATGTATGTTTTGCTGAATAAACCTTGTACCCTTCAAGTCTCGACTGATGTTTGGGTATGCAGGAGTCATAATCACTGCTTCACTATGGAACCTGGGAGGAATCTACAACGGAGGCAGCACTCTGGGTACAGGCGTTCCATTACACAGTACATCCAAAAAAAAAAAAAACATATTTGAAGTGATCAGCTCTATATAGTGAATTCATGTATTGTGTATTTAGTGAATAACCCCGTTAGTGAATAGATCTGTCTGCTTGATTCTCTATCTATCATAATCACATCATTACTTCGGCTTTCAAGATATTGCATTCTCTGTTGAAGAAAATATGTTGAAAACAGAAAAAAAAACTTTGGGTGATATATTTGCTGCTTGGCTTCTCTCAAAGCTCTGGAATATTTCATTATAAATGAGTACAATGTGTATACAGAAAAGACATGTATAATTTGATGCGAATCAGTGTACTTTGCACACTAGCCCTGCAGGACAGTGTAAGGTTAAATTTTTGGCTTATGATATTACTCACGTCCTGAGCCTGTACAACTGTTAACCATTACAAGTATCCAAGTTATCTTCCTATTATCAAGATATTTCATACTTAAACCAATTAAAAAATACAATAATTGACAAATGTTACAATTTATTTTCTAAATGTTTGTGCTACTTGTTATTGCCACTAATACAATTGTCAAATAAATATATATTTTAAAACTGTATCTGATCCTTTTATATTTTTAAAATAGCAGTATTCTTTTTCATTCACAAGGAGGACAATTCTGCACATTTGAGGCTTACTTCTATAACTCCTGTAACTGGTTCCTCATTGGGAGAACTAGTACGTGGTATTTTTTATCAATGAGCAGACAGTGTTAGACTGAGAAGATCAGGTGACGCTCTCAGACTATTACAGTTTCCCCAGCTAAACTTTCCTCATTCTGTAGTGGCACCGTGCTCTGGAGCCCCAATTTTTGGGTTACACCACTGCAAAACCATTACCCCAATTTTTCTGACCCGATAACTTAAATTGCTATGAGATTGGGAGTGCTTTTTTAATTTATGTGGTAACAGTATATCTACAATCACAGCTTAATTGAACTTATAGCAGAATATTCTGTGTTATCAGGCGCTTAAATTAAATAGTAACAGGTGCTCTTATAGTACAGCAGCTCTCACACAAGAAAATAGGTACTCTTCAGTCCTATCGTGATTACATGTGAAAAGAACACTTATTTACATAACCAGTATGAAAAAGTGACAGTGTGTAGCGCTAGGTAATATCGACTTACACCATGAGGAACTTTAGGGATATGGAATATATATATATTCTCCTGAATCTTGGAGGGTATAGGAGATGTATATACTGTGGAGAAAATGGAAAAAATATATAGTGCACTCTGTGCAAACAGGCGTAGTGGTAAATCGTATAATAGGAAGCACTCACGTGGTTCAGAGCCTATTATGGATTGAGTTCTCATCTCCTCAATTTGGCCGACATCACTTCCCTTTCTCTCAAGGTTCTCCCCTCCAGCTCCTCATTCCTCCATTTTGATTAGTGGCAAAGAGAGTTGAAGAAATCGTGAACACAAGTTCATAGTAATATTTTTCAGTCCTAAGGCAGATATGCTCATATTTGAGCATTTGGGCATAAAGAACAATAAAGTGCATCAATTTGTTATATTTTACAGAGAAAAATATATTTAAAAGAGAACACATATACATTTTTAAATAAGAGATGTATAAGGTATTAATGATGTTCCAGCCACTAAAAATAAAAGGAATCTTCAATATAATTTAAACATTAAAAAAGAATATAACAATAGAGTATAAAAATAGAGTGTAAAAATCACTATAAAAATTGACCCAAAAATGGCTAAAACTTTTTTATAAAAAGTGGCATAATTCAAAATCATCATTAAGACCATAAGGTTGCATGGTGTTTAAATTAAAAATCCATCTCATCTCTGTTTGTCCAATTAATTTCATAGGGTCACCACCTCTCCAATTTCCGACTATTTTCTGAATTCCCATAAATTCCATCAATTGGGGGTTACTATTATGTTGGTTTTTTAAAGTGCAAGGACACACTATGATTAAGGAACCCTTTTTTTATGTTCCTAATATGTTCCTGGATTCTGGTATTTAAAGTCCTATTGGTCCTTCCTATGTAAGCTAAACCACAGGGACAAGTAATCATATATATTAATTTAGTTGTGTAACAAGTAATAATTTGTTTAATTTTAAAACTTTTATTCTTGTCCTGTGGGTGATTAAATTCTCTTACTGTTCTCTTACTATTTTTGGAACCCTTACATGCTCCACACATGCCGCATCCATAAAAACCTGGTTTTTCTTTAAAAAATTGGTTCGTCAGTTTCCTAGAGGTTATATGATTTTTTGTTAACGTCCTCTTAAGATTTGGTACACCTCTATATACTATGTCAGGTGTATCAGGAAGTATTGAATTCAATATAGGGTCATTCTTTAAAAGTGGCCAATATTTCCGAATGATTTTCTTTAGACCTCTACTGTTATAGTTAAAATCACAAATAAATTTTAAATTCTGTGGTTCTACATTCACCTTGATTTCTTTATATTCTATTAATTTTGTCCTATCCTCATTTTCTACTTCGACAAGGGCTTTGTTCAAAAGTTCATCTTTATACCCCTTCTCTCTAAAATCTTTTATTATTTTCTCCGATTGTTCATAAAATTTATGTTGATCCGTACAATTTCTTTTCACTCTAAGTAATTGCGCTTTAGGGGCATTTAACAGCCAAGGGGAAAAATGGCAACTATTTTCCCCTATATAGCTGTTAACGTCCACCTTCTTAAAATGAGTACAGGTTTTAAGTGTATTTTGTTCAACATAAATATTGAGGTCTAGAAATTCTACAGAACTCTTATTAAAATTACTTGTAAGTTTAATACCCCATTCATTTTCATTAAGATGATTTAAAAATGATAACAGTGATGTCTCGTCTCCATCCCATATAAAAAATATATCGTCGATGTAACGGCGATAGGTCACGAGGTTCGCGTCCCATCTCTGGTCGCTATAAATATATTCTTCTTCCCAGTGTGCCATAAATAGGTTCGCGTAGCTGGGCGCGAACCTCGTGCCCATCGCCGTGCCACAAATTTGTAAAAAGAATTCTTCCCCATACCAAAAATAATTATTGGTTAAAATCCAATTTATCCCTTCTACAATAAAATCTATTTGTTTTTGCGGGAATTTCTTAGAGAGTTCCAGAAAGTGCTTCGTTGCTTCACAGCCTCTTGTGTGAGAAATTACTGTATATAAAGAATTGACGTCTGCAGTCACCAAATAATAATTTTCTTTCCATTCTATATTTTTAATTACTTGCAGTAAATTTATAGTGTCTTTGAGATAACTAGGACATGTGCAGACTATAGGCTGTAAACACCTATCTATATATTGAGATAGTTTGCTAGAGATAGACCCTATCCCAGAAACTATAGGTCTACCCGGGGGTCTATCTTTGTCTTTATGCAATTTAGGTAGATAATAGAAAACCGGGATCTTAGGGTACTGTACATTTAAAAATGTGTATTCCTTTTGATTAAAGATCTCCATAGTTTTACCCTTCTCGATTAAATCGTTGTAACTCAGTTTAATTTCTTTCGTGGGATCCATTGTTAAAGTACGATAAGTTTGTTTATCATTCAATAATCTCCATGCTTCTTTATTATAATCATCTATATCTAGAATTACAATCCCCCCCCCTTATCAGCTGGTTTAATTACCAAAGATTCGTCCTCTCTTAGTTCTTTAAGGGCCTGTCTCTCCTGAATATTCAAATTATAATTATTTATTTTGGGTTTCTTTATTTTATTCATATCGCTCATTACCATTTTTTCGAACGTTGTCATTTCGTCTGATATGAAGTGGCGAGGAAAAAAGGTAGAGCTCTCTTTTAAGTCTGTATGAATAATATCCGGCCCATCATTATCAACAGAATTAGTAATAGCTGGATGTTTCAGAAAAAACTTTTTTAAACAAAGTTTGCGCTTAAACCTATTTAGGTCCAGGTATACACTAAATCTGTCTATTGGTTTGGTCGGAGCGAACTTAAGACCTTTGGCCAATAGACTTGTCTGTGGCTTTGTCAGTACCTTCTGAGAGAGGTTAAAGATTCCATTTTGTTTGGATTCCTTTCTCTCCTTTCTTTTTTGTAAAAATGTTCCTCCTCTAACTCCCCTTCTTCTATACTGCGTCTTCGTTTGTTTGGGGATATCCGGGATGTCGGGGACTCCTTGTGCCGTCCCCTCACCTGCCTGTGCCAAAAATCCTCATCTACTTGAGGCGTGGAGAGGGCTTGGAATCTATTATGTGTATTAACATTATCCTGGTTTTGGGGAGGTCTATAAGTAATTCCCAATCTATTGTTTATAGTGGCCCCACTTGGTCTAGGTGTTCTTCCTTTTCCTGGGGATGTAGGTTGTTTCCTTCTCACCACTTTTTCCCACCCTTCAATATTATGCATAGGTTTTTGCTGCATCTTCCAAGAGGGTCTTTCCCTCTGGGAACGTTCTTTACTCCTTCTGTAGGTGGGAGTCCTTATTTGATCCCTTCCCCTCCCCCTCCTTCTTTCATTTCTATGGAAATCAGATATGTTATTACTATCCCATTCGTTCATCCTATTATATCTCGTATTTCCATATGGTTGTTCCCTCCCTTTTGCATACGTTCTAACCTTATTACTTGCATAATCCTCTTTATCACGTAAATATTTCCTTTTTTTGATCTCAATGGTGTTTTTTTCAACTTTTTCTAAATTCATTTGAATATCATTCATTACACTAATATATTGTTCTTTTGTCATGTTTTCAATTAGAAAATTCTTTATCTCAATTATCTCTGCATCCAATTTTGGCAGTGAATTATTACGTCGTTTTATAATCAAATTCATCATACCAAAAGAGAAACTCTCCAAGAGGTCTGTCCATTCCCTTATAAAGTCCTCCTCCTCCTGATCAAATGAGGGACTTTTTGTGAACCTCAGGCCCCTTGGAGTAATCTCTTCCCTGACATATTTGTCAAGTGTGGCAACCTCCCACTTTATTTTAATTTCC